CTGGCAGACTGGAAATATGTTGACCTGGGTCTGTGGTTGTGGCACTCCTGGAAAAGCCTTCCCTTTGGGAGTGTGCAAAATGTAATGGCCATATAAATTACTGTATGTGACTCCTGTAGACAGTGCCTGTGTGGCTGTCATCCCTTCCTCTTTCTGTTCCAGCAGGAGGACACTGTTCAGTACCATCGGATGCAGTGCTCCCCCCCTTTTTTGCAAACGTGTTGCAGTTTCCTCCTGACGAAATCCCTAGCCCTCAGAGGAAAGAAAAGGAAAGACACGGAGATCACTAAACTGAAATGCGCCGGCATGCTTTTAGCACGTATGTCACGGGCTCCCAGCAATTAGCACGGAAAAATATTACCTCGTTCGCAGAGTGAACACTCATGTCTGGGAAAAAAACACATTGGACATACTTCAAAATCTTTCCCCAAACACATTAGAAGACAAGCCAATTTCTTTCAGTATTTTATTTATATATATAATTTGACTTTGTGCACAGAAACAAAAAGCATAGGCCTGTACAAAGCCTCTTCCAAGATGCAGTTCCTTAGAGCACAAAGGCACTCCTGGTGCTCTGACTAGCTGGAGCAGTGAAAAATACAGTGTGATTTAGAGACTGATGACGTTAATGATGAAATGCTGACCAATGTATTTCCCTCCTGATTCTTTCTATGGCTTGACAAATGGTGCACGGAGGAACCTGTAAATCATGAAGTGAGTCGGCGGCGCGCAGACGGGGCCCCGTCGGGGTCATTATGAGAGAGGACACACCGTGTTAGCGCTTTTACACGCGCCAGTGCGGCGCGCTTGGCATTTACATTTCACTACGGAACAGACGCCGGCCACAGGGTTTCGCCGAACTAAATTTCCACGAAAATTAAGTTTTTAAAATTATGTTAAAATATGGCAGTCAAAAAAATGCCCCAGTTTGTTTTCCTTTTCATAAACCCCAGACTGCTAATGTTGCTCCATTGTCCAAAAAGGACAATATAGCGGGAGAGACTAATGAAATCAACATTAAAATCTGCTTACTGTATTTCCTTTCAATATACAAATACGTTTTAATGCAAGAGCTGTCATAAAATAATCTGCAGCATTTGCTGGGGATTACTCCATCGAATAACATATCCCTGTAATCCGAACACTGTCCTATTGCCAAAAGCACAATAAAAATCATTGTCTGGCCTTTCAATATGATGAATACATATTAAAATATCACAAAGAATTATAGTACCATCCTTATTATTATTAAAAACATTTAAAAATCCGTTGATGGATTATCTATTTTCATACCCGTCAATTTGAAATGGAAGGACGCAGAGGAGCGTGTAAGCCTGCGACTGTACCATCAGATAAGGTGTCCTTATAATCACGTCCATCTGCTGTTGTCCAGATAACCGCTTCAGCAGGTACGCCCCTGACATACACAAAGCCAAGCGCGGTCTCGACGTGCGCGTTCGCAGTACGCGGTCCAGGGCTTTGAGGTACCGAAGGGAGGGGCACGTGGAGGTCAGAGACGGGAGGCCGATCGCCCCATCAAGATGTCAGACATAGAAGTGGTTGGAGAAGCGACGCCACATGCTGCTGATGCAAAACCAAAATAGTTTGCGAGTTTTTTTCCCCCTGTCCAGCTGGGTTATCATTCACCATTAAACTTAAAACTGTAATAATCACAAAGATAATAAGGAAAATAAAATCAAAATTTAAATTATATTATTCTTCTAGTTACAAGGAAGCCAAGTTGTACCGTAATACATAATGTAGACACACAAACCGTAATTTTGCTAATAGGCGAACTGTGTCCCTGTAAAATATCAATCAGTATAAATGAGCAATAACGCAAGTCACTTTGGATAAAAGTAATAGATAGGCTAGTAAAATAATTTAGGCACTGTTTATTTTGACGATGCAATAAAACGAGTAATGAGCACTCTGGGGCTCAGGTAACTTTTACATGGTGCCGCTATTTGTGGGCCGTCCAACGATATCAAACTGAATCAGCAACAGTGATAAATTGCCCATTTTAAAGTATAATGTGATACTCTGAAGCATGTCTCCCGCTAATGTGCATGTGTTTCCCATATTCATATGCAAAGCCTAATGTTGTGTAACCAATTCTGTCATTCCATTATGTAAATACATTTTCCTCAACATTATATTTTATGTTTTGCCGTTCTCGCCTAAATTATTTGGGTGTTAATATCGCAGGCTGTGGTGAAGCTTCAGTTCCCTGCATGAAACGCAACGTGTACCGTGACATGCTGGGGAAACATAATTTAACGTCCCATTGTCACAAGAAACTTTGTCTATTGTTTCTGTAGGATTTTGAAAATGTCGGCTGACGGAAAAGTATCATATGTGCAATTTTTCTTTATTTTATTTTTAGCCCAATGGGAAATACTCAAGTGTTAATGGCATTAATCATGGCTCTGATTTTAATATTGCTAGTTATAAGGCTTCAATCGTGACTGTGATTGACACTGCATGAATAGCTTCATTTCAATAGTACTTACTAAAATTACAGTCAATCAAAAAAAAAACTTTAAAATACAGATCAGATGTATGATGAAACAGGTTTTGTTTGAGTGATTCAGCTGGAGGCTGAGCCCAGGTGACACACATCATGAACAAGTTCCAGCCATTTGGTCTGTTTTTTAAATAATTCAAACTGACAAGCATATCGTGCCGAATTTGAGGCGTGCCGCTCAGCCCAAAATATACCAGAGGCCCTGGCCATCTCCCAACATGGGATTGCTAAAGAGAAGAATGGCCAAATAATGGGGAAAATGGCAAAAAATCCTACGGAGCGACAGAGGGGACAAACTGAGCCGGGTGGCAACCAAGCCGATGAATTACACATTATCAGAAGATCCAGGCATTTCCTGCATCAGTCAGGGAGCACGGTAAACGGCGAAGCTTCAGCATGCCACACAAACCCGTCATGGAGACGAAGCCGAGGCCCAGAACCTTTGCGGACATTCATTACTCTGATGGACAGGTGCGGGGTCCCATGAGCAGCCATTGTGCCAAATACACGCACCTCCCGTCTTTGTGTGAGTGCAGGTATAAGCAGAGACTTGCACAGCTAACAGGCCGGGCGTGCATCTACTAACATAGGTACTGCCTTTGTAATTCAACAGCTCTGACTGTCCTCCATCCATAAATGCCAAACATCTGCAGATGTTTCCATGGGACTGTCTTTCAACGTGACAAGTCCAGGCTTTCTAACTTTCTGAGCCAGCTCCAACAGACCAGGATAATCAAGGGAGATCCGGAAATGAAACGGTGGAAGTGCAGAAATTCAAATATTTCAAATGAGGGCATTTAAACCTCAGGCTGCTGCCATTTCACTCGGGAATATTTGATATATGTGGCAGGTGGGCAAACCATTGTGATGTAACTATCAGTAATAGAGTCATTTAAATATTTGCAGTGTCAAAAAATGTGAAGATGGTTTAACATCACACTGCAGCACACTGCAACACACTGGAAGAAAAGCTATGTGAAGAGTAACTATATGATGGAAGACCAAACTTGTACACCCTTTAGTCAAAATAGTTTAATAATATTACAGAATATTTCTTATTAAAATTAACTTTGTATGATGGCACTCTTGTATGTGGTTCATTATTATTATTATTATTATTATTATTGAGTTCACCTGTGAAATCTTCACCTGCGTTATGATTTTTCTTTTTTGTATATATTTTTAAAGTCCCGAAACTGTAAACTCATCAGCAATAAATTTGGACCTTTAGAAAATACAGTGCGATTTAAATAAAGTTTATACAAAGTCACAAAATACAGTGCGGGAAAGTCAAATGGCAAAACACAGCCTCAAACGGTCAACTACCCGATCCAAACTGTTCTTTTTTCTTATTTGCTCTTAAAGTACACTTAAGCAATACATATAAATATATATATGTGTGTATGTGTGTGTGTGTATATATATATATATATATATATATATATATATATAGCCTATATAACGTAGTGAAACTAATAAGCTTTCAAAAGAAAAAAAATACTAAATGGCTGTATGAATAGATGTACAGTATATAGTTTATAATTATAACAATTTAAAATCATCCGCACAGTGGTGTTGTAACAAACAGTTACACAGAAAATAAAGATTCAAATAAAATGTAATGAGAAAAGTGAGCTAATGGTAAAGTGCTGCACTAGCAAACAAAAACGAACAGAGATTAAAGTGTTATTAAAAATTAAACATACAAGAATACTCCGACGTATAAGGTACAGTCTAAAAGGCGACTAGGCAGTTTTCCATTGTATATGTTTAAATCGCTTGTTTCGGGACTGACGCTTGCATGTAAATTCACGTGATGCATTTATTCCACAATTAACAATAGCCTAATTCAATTTGTTAAAAGAGGCATTTCCTGCGGAAACTTTGGAGGGAGTTTCCATTTGTCATTAAAAAGGATGTAAAAAGTTCTAGGTGGTTCGGAATAACAAGCGACGTACTACAATTAAGGGGGGTGTTAATTGGGCGGCCCCGATCGCTTGCGTATTTCCCAGGAGTGACGAGCGCTAAGAATAAGTCAGCCCAATTTTCCGACTATACCTACGCGCACGCTCTCTAATAATAATAATAATAATAATAATAATAATAGTAATAATAGTAATAATAATAATAAACTCGTTCAGAGCAGTCTGCCCGTGTATGGTAGGTTAAGTGGAAACTGAACAAACCTCCTTAATATACAGACAATCACAACCTTATGGTGATTAGTTAATGACTGTAACAGTGTTTTCAATGTGGAATTTACCCTTTTCGGGGGCGATTACGGATAGCGGCTGTTTCTAAAGCACAGGTGGACATTTATTGATTTATGGGGTATATCGGACAAAGTGCCAAAGTGACACGGCGCGGACGCGACATGCGGCGATGCCCCTGTCTGACAGCGCTTAACCCGCTTAAATGTCACCTCCATCGGAGCCGATTCGCGGCCAGCTGTGTTTGCGCTATAAAAGTTTACCTTTTCTCTTTGACCTCCTCCTCCGTCTCCTTTTGAACTTGCATTTCAGCTGGCTGCTCGGAGCCCCCGGAGCGCGGCTGCCGTGGCCGAGGACCGAAGCCATCGTGGTGCCTCCTAAGTAGTTCAGCTTCACTTTGCGGTCTGGGGCGTCCCTCGAAGCCGCTGGAGATGCTGCCTTTCTCTTTATTCCCCCAGTCTTAAAGGGTGTCCCTCGCGCAGATTGAGGAGCGTCTGCTCGATCACGCCCCCCAGACTCCGCGCGTCGGCTGCGGCGCGCACTGCCGCTCCAGGCGCTCCAGGTTCTGCACCTCTGCCTTTTTGGCACCAGCCACTTTGAATCCGACCATGCAGGAAGCCCATCTATTTGCTGCCGCAATTTCTAATTAGACCCAATCATGACGGCGTGCAGGCTGTGACATCAGCGCCGGTACCGCTACCCCAGCACCACCCCCAGTCGGGCTTGCAAACTCAGCTCGTATTTGGGTAGCTGAGTGATGGGTGAACAGCGTCCCGTTGCCGAAGATGTGTCCTGCGTTTCTGCTCCAGGCGCGCCGGCTGTAGCATTTCAGGGCTCTGCGGCTGAGAGAGAGCGAACCCTCTTATATTCGCCTTAATATGAGCTCGCAAGTTACTGAACCTTTATTTCGTCGCCTGACTCCACAGTCTTTCCCAAAGCGCTGTTTCAAATACTGAATATGAATACTGCTAGCAAACACAGCGCAGTCGGATTTATTGACTGGGCATGTAATATCGCCCCTAAAGTTCATTATTATTCATGATAATGTATTAATAAATATGTATAATTCCTATTATTTCTCCTGCTTTAATATTAGGCTGTCACAGCATATCTAGTAAATATCTAGCTAAATATTTCCTCTAAAAATTATTTTGCAAATAATTAAATGTATAATTTATCATTTATAATTGATAGTTTAATAGGGCAAAAAACGCTGAAAGGAAAAGTAGGAAGGATATTGTGGTGAGGGAACTTGACCTGAAGTGACAGTTTACATTCCCTACTGAGTTCATGATTTTTAAATCACAGCGGCTGATCTCTTGACTTGCATTTTTGCGTCCCTATCTCGGTGTAGGAGATTGAATTGGAATTTTCTGACATTCACATCTGAAGGTGAGAGATTACACTCTTGCTGGCTTTTTTTTTTTTACAGTTGATACATTTATTATTTTCATACAGTGCTGTTGAAATATTTTTAAGGCAAGTGGCATTTTCAAACGTGCCATATTGCTCAGACAGTGATGCTGCTTATTGGCTACTTCAGCCTTCTCTAATGCTACATTCAGAATCAGGGCAGCACACGGCTAAATGGTTAAGGTACCATGTGGGGGAGCAGTGCCCCTGCTCTAGCGCCTCCTAACTGTGACTTTTGGCAGTGCACCTGCTTCCGGATGTGTTCCACATAGTCGCCGGACCTCTTTGCTTCCATTCCACATGCATGATGATGTACAGACACAGTAAAATGCCAGACAGCATTTCAATATTTTTACCCTTAAATTTGACCTGATTCGTTATTGAAAATGTCTCAAGGATAAAATAAAAGAAAACATTGTCGCTTGTTTAATTTTACTCTATTTCCCCATTTTCAGTGTTTATTTGATATATATTTTTATTTTTTAATTATTCTTTAACGCATTATTAAGCATTTATTAACCCCGTCTATTGTTGGTGTTGCTGTGTTTGATTACTTCTTTGGTATCATTTCCAGCAGAGGATTCTTTTGATTTTGATGCATGTTATCACACTAAACTGCTGCCTGAACCAGCGGTTCAATCGGAAGCCTCTAACTTGCTTTAAATGTCTAACTGGCTGCTGTTATTTATTTATTTTAATGATAATATATTTACCCAGTTCGCAAAGACCCTGAAGATTAAAGGCTGTCTGTCTTTAACTCACCCTGAATGTGCATTTTACGGAATTAAGAGGCTAATTGAGCTGCCTGTCTGGAACTGTCCATGGTCCTGAATATTGCATGCAATTATTAGTGTTATTAAAAATCCTATTACTTGGAGCTGATGATATATTTATTTAGTCTGCTGTTTTAACGTAATGTCAATTTCCTTATTAACCAAAATGGGGTTCTTTTAAAATAAAAAAGGTTCATTGTTTTCCATCTTAATCTGTGTGTGTGACTTTGTGAGATTTTCAGCACACATAAGTGTCACATAAGGATATTACCATTATGCACTTAAATCACGTTTTAATATATGATCTAATGACATTAAATGGTGCGAAAAGGGATTAGCTGGTCAGGCTCCTTATTGGAACATTGGAATACTTCTCTGTAGGGACCCGCTCTCTGGATCCCAGGGAATCACACACGCACATCAAAATAACAGGTTTGTATTACATTGTGGGGGGCATTTGGGCATACACACACACACACACACACACACACACAGGTTTGCAATTATATATTTGTAGGGACTCTCCATTCATTTTCATGGGGAAAACTCTAATCCCAACATGATGACCTTCACCCCATAACCGTAACCACCAGTAACCAAACAAAATACAAGCCTTTTCGCATTTTTAGTTTTTTGGTTGCATTCACAGATGTTTTTGGGGACCTGGAAAACGGTCAGCCCACAATATCAAAATAACAGGTTTGTATTACATTGAGGGCGGCATTTGGGCACATACATACACACACACACACACATATATATATATATACATACACTAATACTAATAAGACAAAATCATAGAAAACCCCAAAACCAATCAGTGTGAGACAAGGGTTGACATCTATTTTTGTTGAACTCTTCAGGTCCAATGCCCCAACTGACAGTGCCAAAGCAGGACTCCTGCTGAGAGCCGACCCAGCAACTTAAAGGGGCACTGACCTGCATTCTTAAAGGGGCACTGACCTGCATTCTTAAAGGGGCACTGACCTGCATTCTTAAAGGGGCAGTCGCCTGCGTCCTTAAAGGGGCCATCCTTAAAGGGGCAGTGGCCAGCTACCTTAAATGGGTTGTCCTTATATAGAGGAAGTGTCCTTAAGGGGGTTATCATACGTTTCTATACCGGGGGGTGGAGATACAACATTGATCTAATAAATCTGCATATTTCACTCGACATTCTATATTCATGTTATACATTTGGTTGTAGGCTTCTGTTTCTGGTAAAAGGGCAGTAATCATTTTGTTTGATCGGGGAGAGGTCAGGAAGGCCATCTCGCAGTAGAGACAGGGATGTCCTACGGTCAGATCAGTGATCTGTGGGGAACGGCCTCCTTTGGATCCCCAGAGTGCTCTTTCTGCGCATGTCATACTTTCTCTTTTGCTCTTGAATTGGGGCAGCCATTTGTCTGGAATGCTCACTAATGAAATTAAACTGTGCAGAGAAAACCGTATTCTCGGTACAGAAAGTGAATGTGATTTATTTAGGAGTAATAGGAGGTGAATGTATATTGAAGTCACATCTGCAAGGTGGAAGGATTGATGGATGGTTTTATATCTCCTATAGTCATATGAAATAGATCCTTGATCTGTCTTGATCTGTTTTTATGTTCAGTGAATAAAAATACATGAAGTGGCCATTTTATTAGGCAGAAATAGTAGGTACTGTGTAGGATCCACTTTATTAGGTATATCTAGCTAGTACTGGGTAGAATCCCCTTTTGCCTTCACAACAGCGACAAGTTTAGATGAGCTGTGCATTCAGAGGCGCCTTCCTGCACACCCCTGTAGTACTAAGCTGTTATTTTTGCGCTTGTGGCCTTCCTGTTAGCTTTAACAAGTCTGGCCGTTCTCCTCTGACCTCTCTCATTAACAAGGTGATTTCCGCTGCTGAAATGCCGCTGTCTGGATGTTTTTTTATTTATTGCACCATTCTCTGTAAACTCTAGACACTGCAGTGTGAAAATCCCAGCAGGGCGTCTGTTTCTGAGATGCAGGAACCACCACGTCTGGCACCAACAATCACACCGCATTCAGAATCGCTCAGATCTTCACCGTTCTAATGGTCAGCATCCACTGGACTCCTTGACCCTGTCCGTATGATTCTGTATGTATTCAGTTGCAGCTTCAAGATTCTCTGCATAAAGAAGCGGGCTGCTAACTATGAAGCCTATACCTATTAGAGTGACCACTGAATGTATATCAAATAAAATATAACCGCTACTAATAGTCAGTTATTAATTATGCAAGTTTGACCTTGGCCGCTGTGACACTGATAATTTACCACCGACTTCGTGTCATGAGTCAGTGATGTCACCTGCACAAGTAGCTGTATTAAGAGAATATCATTGGCTTCAGGCCAACTAAGATAACTCGTTAGCTGGCTATAGTTAAGACAGACTTAATAAATATATTCAGCCATGGAAAAAAATTAGACACCACTATATATTTTTAAACAAATCTGCATTTTAAAATCCTAACTAATTAATTGTGGTTCTGCTGGCAGAAGGCTACACTGGGCAGCGGGTTGCTTCCAGGTTCGAAATTTGTAAGACTGCAGTACACAAGAATAAGGTGAAGCAGGAGACACTGGGAATGACCAGAAACCAGCCAGGTAAAGGGCGGAAGTGACATTCTAATGCCAGAGATGACCATTAACTTATCCAACAGAATCGTCATGAATCAGAGGATGACATCAAGTGACCTTCAAAAGGAATGGGAAACATTAAGTGCAGGTGTGAAGTGCACTGTTAGGATAGTGTGCATCAGGCTCCTACAAGCAAGGAAGAAGCCCTTCATCAATGAGAAAGAAAGAAGAACCAGGCTGCAGATTGCAAAAAAGAAAGATATTTCTCATAGATGCATATCCATAAATTGAGAAATGACTGAAACAAAAAAATTGTTACATATACTGGCTGTATATATAATAATTTTTGTGATGGACTAGTGTCCCATCCAGAGTGTATCTATAAAAGTCATTATTGTGAATTAACAGAAACATTTCCTTTTTCAGTTATAGGACACTCATATGACTTACTGAGCTGCAACATAAGAGCAACTTGTTATCATTTATGATGTACTAATGAACCATCCATTTGGGGGGGGGGGGGTTGCTGCTATTACTGACATTATATTTACATTCAAGCAGAAAATGTTTAATGAAAAAAAGTGTGACAAATGAAGTTTCTTGCATTCGTACTGTAACTTCCTAAAAATGATGGAGAGTTAATGGGTACCTTGATTTTTCAGCTCTGATCCATGATACATTTTACTTTGTCATCTGCAAAAATCAGTCAGTTTGACCCAATTTTCCAGGAAAACAGCAGACACCTTTCGTGCTGAAGTGCTCACGATGTGTGACTGGCATGTATGTGACTGGTGCATGTGTGACATGCGTGTGTGATTAGCATGTGTGTGACTGGCGTGTGTGATTAGCATGTGTGTGACTGGCGTATGTGTGACTTGCGTTTGTCTGACTACCATGTGTGTGACTGGTGTGTCTGAGACAGACGTGTGATTAGCATGTGTATGACTAGCATGTGTGTGACTAACATTTCTGTGATTGCTGTGTGTGTGATTGGTCTGTGGGTGACTGGCGTGTGTGTGACTAACATTTGTGTGATTGGTGTGTGTGTGACTGACGTGTGTGAGAG